GCGAAGGAGATAAGGAAGGCGGTGCCGACGGTGCTGCTGTAAAGAAGGAGCAAGCCTCTGCTGCCCCAACGGAGAACTTGGCTGTTGTGGCGGCAGGACCAGTGACGACCCTGCCGGCGGGGGCCGGCTTGGCTCTGGTTGCAGCCAACGCGGGAGACGCGACGAAGGGCAAAGCCAACAGTGGTTTGGTTAAGTTTTGTTAACTTTTACTTTTTGGTGAAGGTGTCGAAGGAGTTCATTTGCATGAAACAGAACTGGAGGGAATGAGTGTCTAGTTACACTAATACATTATTAAACATTATTGATCAAATAAATAAACAAATAAAGAAAGAAATAAATAGATACATATATATATATATACTGACTTGAACCCAAGGTACGACGAACAAGAAGGAGTGGGACACGTTTACCCGCGAGTGCAAGAATCGCAAGCTGTTTCCAGTTGAGCTGAGCGAGTACTACGACAAGAACAAAACCGACCTGTTCAACTTGTGGCTGACCAACGGCAAGGATCTCCAAAAGCACCTTTTCGGCACGACAATTGGTTTGCAAAGTTAAGCAAAAGTTTCTTGGGGGGTCAGATAGCTGCTGATTTTTCATGTCACATCGAACTTAGGGTGAAAGTGTATGTTGAACGAGTTCGAGAGAAAAAGATAACCTCGCGCTCGGGAGCAGTTGGAATGAAGCAGAGGGACATTGAAAAGATCTATGATGAGGTCAAAACGAAAAAGCTGTGCGAGAAGCTCAAAGCGGAGGAGTGCGGGCAAAAGTATAGATCATTAGGGCCCTGAATCCTATAGACCCCACACCCTCAACCCTGAATCAAACAAACATGTTCTTGAATATGAACATCGTTTGCGAAGCGAGTTTCTTCTTGACTCGTGAACAGGGACGCTTCTACTACGACGAAGAGTTTCCGGACGACGAGGCCGAGATCTACTACTACCTCAACAGGCCCCGCAAGGTGAATGTTGACAACATTGCATCCGAGAGAGCCGAGATGAAGGCTTCTGTCCAAGTGGATGATTCCGAGGTGATGGCGCAGCTCACCGGTCCGGATGGAGTGTTTGCTGCTGGTGCTATGCCAGCAGTGAAGGCCGCGACTGCGGCCGGAGAAAAGGCTCTCGCAGACCAGCTAGCAGAAGCACCTACTGCGAAGGGAGCCAAGAAGACGAAGAAAACAAAGGGCGACACTGCCCCCGAGCCGGTGGTGCCGGCCACGACCAGGGACAAAGCGGACGAGCTTGCGAAAGATTTATTGAAGGCCATCGGCGATGCGAGAAAGCTGTCTCTGTCCTTGCAAGGTATCGAGTACAGCGACAAGCTTGGAGACGAGCTGGTTTCGTTTGCTGAAGCGTGTGAGAAATCGTACGTCAAGGTGAACAAAGCCCTGATTAAGACTCCGGACAAAACGGATGGAAAGACCTTCAGAGCCTTCATCGCCGAGGCCGAGGAGAAGCTGGAATGGTTCAAGGGAGCTGAGGCTGGTGTTTTTGCAAAAGGTAGCATAAGCATCGAGACCCCAGCCCAGAACACAACTACGATCAACCCAAAAACATAAAATCCACACTAACATTATGGACTTTATACTGCCTCAAATAGTATCAAAACGTAAAGCAAACCTTACAGCCCAAAAGGAGTAGTGAGTAGAGCCCGAAACTATAACTACAAGTAGCTTTAGCACCGGAACACCAAAATCCACACCAACATTTATGATGGATGTTGCTTTAATCTCCCTCAAAGGCCGACCCTTTTAACCCACGGTTTTCACACACACCCTATCAGGCAGCGGCCAAATCATTTACATCCAATTCAAGGAGAAAGCCCAAAGCAAAGAAAGGTCCCAAAACCCCGAGTGTGAGCACAGAAGCTGCCAAAGCCTGAAGGATGAAAGCCCGAGTATAGAACACGATGCTTCTATTGTGTGAGCTCGTTCGTTGTTTGTTACTGTGTCCCGACAGAGCTACTGACAGCGGTTACGTAGAGAAGCACGATGCAGTCGAGGTTTGAAGAGCTGACACCGTTTTTGATTCTGCGAACTTGCAGAGCATATCGCTGCTGCTCGAGTTTTGCTGGCAAAAGTGTGCGATGAGGTTAAAGCCCAGTTTGTGCAACGACCGCGCAGGAAACACCCAAAGTGAAAGCCCTTTTATAGCCAATCCCCCGCAGGTACGTGCGCTCGCGACGACACCACATCGGGAACAAGGTTCGCTGGTTGAAACGTTTGAAGCATTCTAACAGCCTGCACCTCACATAACACCGCTGCAGAGTCTGTAAGCATGAGTCTGAGTTGCCAACACACCGTGCATCTACCATCTTCACAGTTACAAGATGTGTTACATAGACACATACACCACTTCAGCAACATAGCAGTTGGATCTGCTTCAACATCATCATCCTAAATTGTAAAAGCCCCAGCTACAAATCCCGGGAAGTATGGGCTCTAGAGCCCCCTATAATCCCAAAAACCCCAAAGACCATCATAAGAATAGGGAATCCTATATCCAAAAGCAAAAAGTAAGTGGAACCCGACACGACTGATTTACTAGCTTAATGGTCCTGCTTCGGTTGAACACTGTTACGACCTGGTATCTGTGCAAGAACTAAAACCAGACTGATGGGTTTTAAGAATAAGGTGTTGGGTTGAAGTTGTGAAGGTTTTGGGTTTGGGGTTTGATATGCGACCCAAAAAACGGCACCCAGCCGCAGGCGAAAACGATCATCGTCTGAGAAATTGTCACTTGGATGTTGGGACGGGGGCTTGCGGTATCGGTTTAGGGGTGTCTCTAAAGGGTCTTCAAAAAGCCCTGAGCCTTGCAGCCTTACATCCGAAGTCTTTGGGGTTCAGGGTTTGGGTTTTAGGGTTTAGGGTTTAGGGTTCAGGATTTCGGGTTTAGGGTTTAGGCTTAGGGTTTGGGTTTAGGATTCAAGGTTTAGGTTTAGGGCTTGAATCCGAAATCGAAAGCGGCTCCAGGACAACAGCTCCAAACCAAACCTTAGCAGTAGAGTAGTTAGGCCAGGTGGAGCTTTGGGATACTTGTTGGTTCCCCTTATTGGAGATACCTTTTCATAGATACTTTTGGGAGCCCTGAATGTACGACCCAATAGGACTATGTTCTGCGATATGTTGCGCAGGTTCAGGGCTTTGGTTCTAGGGTTTTAAGGTCTAGGACGGCTTTGGGTTTAGGGTGTAGGGTTTTTTACGGCTTAGGACGGTTTCGGGTTTAGGGCATAGAGCTTTAAGGTTTAGGGTTCGTTCGGGGATCCAGTATGAGGGGTTTTCCGGGGGCTTCAGGCTTCGGTATAGGGCTTAGGGAATGTTAAAGGCGTGAGGTTCAGGGTTGGTAAGGTACCAGGATTTTTCCGGTGGTTTCAGGCTTCGGTTTAGGGTTTAGGGAAGTTAAAGGTGTGAGGTTCAGGGTTTATAAGGTACAAGGATTTTTCCGGTGGTTTCAGGCTTCGGTTTAGGGTTTAGGGAAGTTAAAGGTGTGAGGTTCAGGGTTTATAAGGTACGAGGATTTTTCCGGTGGTTTCAGGCTTCGGTTTAAGTTTAGGGTTTAGGGAAAGTTTCAGGGGTAAAGGTTCAAGGAGTTTTTTGGCCTGAGCCAAAACCGTTCGAAAACGAGTGCTTTGAATCGTTTTCGGGTTTATACAACCCCAATGTTTCTCAACTCAACGACCCAACCCCGCACCCTGTTTAGCCGAAGTCAATTACCCTCAACTAGTTTCGTTGTAGAGATACCGATGCGAAAATATCCGCGCTTGACGCGAAGTTTCTTTCTCAACCCTCAACCCCAACCCCGGCACCCTAAACCCCATCCTATAAAGTCCCTTGAAGAGGTAGCCCAGGACCCAGACCCGTCCGCAAACATACCAAGGACCCCATGCGATCTTCAAGCCGGAGAGAGGCCCCATGGCATATAAAGATGGTCGTGCTATCATTACATTAGAAAGACCCTGTTCTCGCTGTCACAATCACATGGAGCTGAGCTTGCATGCAGTGAATGCATGGAGAGCTTCTGTGAAACACAAAGAGTTCTCGTCGCAGCCACACCCAGGAGCGTGAAGCGAAGTCGCTTCGAAGGGCTTCCACACAGCTATGAAGCTGATGAGTTCATTCGCCGCTTGGCTTCTATTTTGGCTTGTGAGCGTGCTCGAGTGCATACAGACAGAATGGCTCCCTGCAAGTTTTGGATAGGCATGATCGGATCCGGGAAAACCCATGTACACACGGTGGCTGAAATTGCACGTGCGCAACTCTTGGATGGGCATGTAATGCCGAGCGTGGAAATGTTCGCCTCCTTGGGTGGCTTTGGCAAGCAGCCCGGGCATGAAGAACGAGACCTCCACCGTTGGCTGCATGGCCTTCATGACCTTAACTTGGAAATTTATTGGACGACGATGAAATTGCAGGCTTGCTTTCGCATGTAGCTCATCCGGACAAGTAGATTTCGCCTGCACACGCAGGTGCCAACTTCTGTGGAAGTTCAAGAAGTGCAGATGCCTGTGCTGCTACCGCACGAGATCCTTCATGCTCTGGCTCGCGCAGGAACGTGCCAGGCACACTTCACATCCTAGAAGTAGAGGAAGTCGAATAAGTTCTGTCCCTTGTATGTCTATGCTTCCCTGCAGTTTTCGAAGTCCATGACGGGACATCGCGATGGTGCAGCGATTGAGGAATTCTGGAAGCACTGCAAAACCTTGGACGAGTTTGCAGCTCACCCCGTTTTGCAAGGCCAAGCCCCGCTTGACAGATTCTGGCTTGCAACAATAGGCAGATAGGATGTGTCTCACTGACACAACTACAAACCTGCTGTCCGTCCATACTAAGGACTGCTCCCATTCACTTTCCATTGCGATGGGGCGGAGTTCTACTCCAACTGCGAGTTCATGGTCTGGTCTTGCTCATCTCTGTTTGCAACAGGAGATGCCTCTAGTCTGCCTGAAGCTGTTGCAGCGGATGCGTCTGCACAGGGAACCCATCCCACATCTACATGCAGGTATGGGACATCAAGTTGCGTCATCGTGCCGCACGAGCTCATGTCCCTGAATGAAGCTGCTCAGCTGCATCTTGAAACGGCTGTGCTGACAGACTGACAGAAATGTGTTTGCGAGCAGGTTCGCGATGAAGTTCATAGACATGTGGCGAAGCTCATGGCCTGGTCCATGAAATGTGCCGCCGAGGGCAAGTTTCCAAGTGTTGGTTTCCACGGCGAAGAGTTTGAACGGAACAGTGTTCGTCGCCGCTTAGCTGGGGCTGAGTCAGCCCGGGGATGGAGGCTTCGAAGTGTCTTGTTTCCATGCATGACATAAGTTCTTTTTCAGCATCGCATCCCTGCAGGGCTGCATTTCATTCCATGAAGTACGACCTGAAAGCCAGAGTCCAATGCATTTTTTTCTCTCGGCACTACGGCTGCAATCTGGTGTGCGAGTCCTGCTTCGCTTGCAAGCCTGCCGATTCAACCGAGCCCTTGATGAACTATCGCAACTTTAACCTATCGGCTGCCCACCGTCTGAGCCGCATAAGTCATCGAACTTATGTGGCCCTGACGCCACCGGAACAGTTGTCACCATGGATATGCATGCCAGGGTGGACCCTGGAGAGCTGCACTCGCGATCCAATGCATGTCATCTACTTGGGCGTTTGTAGAGACATCCTGGCCTCAGTCCTTGCACAATGGTTGGATGCAAACCTGCTTCCCCAAGCGAACACTCTCCACGAGAGGCTGAGGCTCTTGTCTATCGAAATGCACAAGACATGCAAGCGGGCCAGGTGACTCGGCGTACAGGGTTTTGCTCCTGGCTCTCTCAAGCATCGTCTGCATTCGCGTGTCCGTGTTCTTAAGTCATGGCCATTGCAGTGCATGAAAGCTAAGGGTCTCATGCCGCCGAAAATTCTTACACCGTCGAACTGCAATCTTGGCAAAGCGGAGTTTCCGGAGCTGGCCTCGACGTGGAAAGCTGCTGAGATAAAGATCATGATGTGGTTCCTCACCGTCAAAGCTGTTGAGCTCACGACCGGGACAAATGCTCCTTGTTCCGATGTTTGCTACGCAGGTGTTGTGGTTTGCTGCCGGTAAGAAGCTCCAGTGACGTTTGTTGCTTAGGATGAGATGCTCAGAGCGAGCACAACATGCATTTGGTCTCCGAACGAGGCCATGTCCGTCTTGGACATGCATGATCTGCTTTTACCAGTGGACGCAGCAAAGCGAGTCGGAGATCTGCTTCGCCAAAGTCTGCTCCGCTGGCAGTATTTGGCGGGCAAGTACTTTGAACTTGGAGTTCGAAGGTGGAAACTGCGTCCCAAACATCATGTGTTGGATCATTTTTGCGACGAGGTGCCCAGAACAAGGATCAACCCCAGATTATCCTGCAGTTGTTTCCAAGAAGAAAGCTTCTTGGGGCATTTGAAGCGAATTGCGGTGAAGTGCTCATCGGTTCGTGTGGTGGAAAGGACGCTCCAGCGATTGCTGCTTTTATTAGGGCTGCGGTGGCATCACACTCGCGAGTATGGTCGTGAGTTGCAGTCACGTTGCGGCTTGCAGGCCGAAATTGCAACCATGACGTGAATCTCGCTGGGGGAGCGGCAAAAAGTTGGGGAACTGTCGATGCAACTGTGTTGTCCGCCGCTCGCACATGCCATTGCAGGCAAGCTGTTTTATGTTTTTCTCAACTTCTAAATGCCCTAAATGCCCTAAAGCCCTAAAGCCCCCAGCCCTAAATGCCTTAATGAGGCTCAAAGGCTCAAGCCCACGGGCTCTTTCAACTAAAACTGGCTCAAGCTTCAAGATTTGGCTCAAGCCCTGTTACTGGGGCTGTTTCCGTTTCGGCCCAAGCAAACGCCAGCTGCCGGGTTGTGCTTCGCAGCGTATTAGGGTTAAGCGAACGCCGGCTGCCGGACAGCGTTTCGTGTGGCGTTTTGGGGTTAAGCAAACGCCAGCTGCCCACACGCCAGCTGCGGGCAGAGAGAAAAACACAAAGTAAAAGTTAAAATCGTGTTTGTTTCGTTTGTTTGGAAAGAAATTTCATTTTCTTCAATTGTGTCGTTGTTGCGTTGAAAACACGAATTGTATTTGTACAGTCTGGTGTGCACAGTTCTGTATACATACATACAAACGCGTGCGCATCAAGGTTTCCAAAGCAACGTTTGTTGCCTTCGGGTTAAACAAACGCCAGCTGTCGGACTGCGCTTTGTTCGGGGTTTACTAAACGCGAGCTGCGGTTTAGCAAACGCCGGCTGCCGGGCTGCGTTTCGTTCGGGTTTAGCAAACGCCGGCTGCCGGACTGCGTTTTGTTCGGGTTTAGCAAACGCCAGCTGCCGGACTGCATTTTGTTGTGTTTTAGGGTTTAACAAACGCCAGCTGCCCAAACGCCAGCTGCGGGCAGAGGGAAAAACACAAAGTAAAAATCAAAATCGTGTTTGTTTCGTTTGTTTCGAAAAAAGTTTCATTTTTTGAATATGTGTACATGGTTTTGTTGTGTTGAAAAATGAATTGTATTTGTACAGTCATAGTGTGCACAGTTCTGTATACAGACAAATATGTGGACATCAAGGTTTCCAAGCAACGTTTGCTACCTTCGGGTTAAGCAAGCGCTAGCTGCTGGACTGCGTTTTGTTCGGGTTTACTAAACGCCGGCTGCGGTTTTGCAAGCGCCGGCTGCCGGACTGCGTTTTGTTCGGGTTTACTAAACGCCGGCTGCGGTTTTGCAAACGCCGGCTGCCGGACTGCGTTTCGTTCGGGTTTAGTAAACGCCGGCTGCGAGACTGCGCTTTGTACAGCGTTTCCGATTTAGCAAGCGCCGGCTGATCTTACGCCTTGCGCGGGGAGACAGTAAAGAGTACAATGAACATCGTGTTATGTTTCGTATATTTTCCACGAAATACTGCACACGCATGGTTTGATTGTTTATATGTGTACATATATATGCTTCTTACGCCGATGTACGCAATATACGCCAATGTACGCAAATATACGCAGCTGGCGTATACAAATAACAGCTGCCGCTGCCGCAGCTGGCGTTTGTAGCGCCAGCTGTCCTTTGGAAGGCTGCGGGCCCTAACGGGAGGCGGCTCGAATTCCATCACGACGGTCAAGACCGACTTGGTTTGGCCAACCTTGACCGATGACAAGTCGGACACTAAGGATGTCGTCTTGTTTTATGAGGAATTCGAAGACGTCTGTGCCCTGGCGAACAAT